TATTTCTTCAAATAGGTTTTCAATATCTTGCTCTCTCTCTTCTTCTGGCACCCCCATAATTCGGATGTTGGTACGACGCTTGAAGTCCCAGAGGCTCCTTACACTATCTTCATATTTTTGTATTCTTTTTTCCTTTTGCTTTTCCAGTTGGGTGCTTTTTGCTTCTTCGCATTTCAAATCTTTGACTTGATTCTTGGGATCCTCTAGCTTGCTGTTGGGTCTCTGTATATTATTCTTTTTTTTTTTAATATATTTTATTGATTTTTTACAGAGAGGAAGGGAGAGGGATAGAGAGTTAGAAACATCGATGAGAGAGAAACATCGATCAGCTGCCTCCTGCACACTCCCTACTAGGGATGTGCCGGCAACCAAGGTACATGCCCTTGACTGGAATTGAACCTGGGACCCTTGAGTCCGCAGGCTGACACTCTATCCACTGAGCCAAACCGGTTAGGGCTGTATATTATTCTTTATTTCAGTCAGTGTATGCTTAATTTCTAATTGGTCCTTTTTCATATCCATGAGGGTCTCACTATAGTATTTCTTGGAGGTTTCTAGAAGATTCTTGAGTAACCTTATAATCGTGGTTTTGAACTCTATATCCAGTAGTTTGCTTTCCTCCATTTCTTTCATTTGTGACCTGTTTCTTTGTCTCCGCATTTTGGCTGCTTCCCTGTGTTGATAGAGTGGCTTTGTGTGCTAGGTGTCCTATAGGGCCCAGTGGCTCAGCCTTCCTAATTACCTGAGGTGGACACTCTTGGTGCACCCTTTTGTGGGCTGTGTGCACAGTCTTGTTTTAGTGAAGCCTTGATTGCTGTTGGTATCACTGGGAGGAACTGAACTCCAGGCCAATGGGCTGTGAGGACCAGTTGTGTCTACAGTGGGAGAACTGCTGTGCTGGAGACACCCTTATGGGGCAGGACTTGCTTCAGTGGGGCTTTGGCGCTCACTGAGTCTGCTCCCTGTGTGTGTCTCTTATGGATGTGAAGAGTTGTAATCTGGACAGTCTCATTCTGACCATGGTTACACTGGCTCTTGGATCTCCAAGGAGGTGCAAAGTCAGCCACTGCCTGAGGCCTCCCAGCAGGAACTACAGAGAGATCTGCAGATTCCTCCTCTTTGTTATGGGTTTGGAGGTGCCCAGACGAGGTGCAGCTGTGAGCAGTGCAGGCTGGTGATGAGCTTTAGGCCTTCTTTTGGAAGCTCTGGGGTTCTCTGACCCAGCTGCAATTTGACAGGTTTTTAGGTGGAGAAAGGCCAGGCCATTTATATGCAAAAGCCTCTGCTCACAATTTGGGTGGGGTTGTAAATTGGGTGGGGCAGGGTCTCAGGGAATCACCAGGGTGGAGCAAACAGCAATGACTGCCAGTCAGCCCTGCCCTGGAGAGTTCCCCAGGTCTCTGAGCCCCGCAGCCCCATGCAGGAACAATGACCGCTGCAAGCACCTCTGAGAGAAAGCTGCCCTCACATTCTAGCCCGATGCCAGACAGTCCAATTTCTCTCCGTATGAGTCTGAGTCCCCAGATTCTCACCCAGAACTGGAGTTCAGAGCAGCCGGGAGCTTGTATCTCCCTCCCGATTGAAAGACAACACAGCATACCCAGCTGTCGGCCCCTTTCGCGCGCCTCCATACCTCTGCTCTTCCGCACCTCTGCACCTCCTACCAGACTCAATGCGCTTTTCTCTTTCCTTCTAGTTGTAGAATTTCTACTCAGCCAGCCTTCCCGTGGTTCTGGATGATATTTGTTTTGTCTTTTAGTTGTAGTTTTAATGTGGTTTTGTGTGGCAGCAAGTTCAGGTGTTTACCTATGCTGCCATCTTGGTTGTCTCCCTGGACTCAGGAAGGCCTACTCTTGCACGAATTTCGTGCATCAGGCCTCTAGTCTATATATATAAAAAGCCAGTGACCGTAACACCGTAACGACCAGAATGACTGGTCTCTATGATGCCCACTGCGGCGAGCGAACTGCCCGATCAGGGGGTGGGGCCAGCTGATCATCCTCCTGCGGCCCCTCCCCCCAGCCACCCCACCCCTAATTGCCATCCCCTACCCCAATAGGGGGCGAGGCCTCTCCCACCCCAATCAGGGGGCAGGGCAGGTCGGCTAATCTCCCACAGCCCCTCTCTCTGGCTGGCCCCACCCCTGATTGCCATCTCCTACCCCAATAGGGGGCAAGGCCTGCCGGCCAACCTCCTGCAGCCCCTCACACCACCTGGCCCCACCCCAGATCGGTTCCCCGGCCCCAATCAGGGGCAGGGCTGGTCAGCCAACTGCCTGTGGCCCCTCCCCCCAACCCC